TTATTGTTTGACATGGCATATAAGCATAAAAACAATTGTGCTTACACAGTATTATGTCAAATCTTTTAGATTTGCCCCTTGGCTCACGTAAATTTTTTTTTATTAATTGTGCTCTTTGATAAATCCTTTCTTCTCCTGTCATAAGACCCCACTCAATTTTTTGGTTCAAGTTAGACAAGAAAGTATAAATTCCAAGAACAGAATTCATTATATTCAAGTGCTGTGTACGAGTATAAGTTGTTACCTTTGTACAAAGATGATCATAACACGATTGATTAAACATTTCATATTTTTTGACTGCTAAAGCACGAAAAACACAGCAACGTTCAACAATAAAGAGAAAAAAAAACAACCCAGATAAAAATGTGTATCTATTAGCACTTCCTGTAGGTAAACTAAGCCTGATTTCTCACGTAAACCTGTTTTTAGTACACACCCCCTGCTCTAAGTTCTTCCTGCACTTGGTTGTGTGTGTTATTTTAAGTTAATTTCACCTTCAAAGTTTACCAAAATATAAAAAATTTCATTCAAACTGCATTTGCCTTGTTTTACTTTTTATTCATTACGTTACTTGAGTACATCTATTTTTTTTTACAGTGATTCTATACTTAAGTACAAAACATTTCAGATACTTTAAGACTTTAACTCAAGTAACATTTCAGCCAGTGACTTGGACTTTTACCAAAGTCATATTCTGGAGAGGTACTGATACTTTTACTTGACTCTGAGATTTAAGTACTTTATACAACACTGAATGTGGCCAACGTGAAGAAAAAAAAGCTGTTACGATTACTGTACTTCACAAACTATAGGCGCACACACAACTGGTCATGATACAAAAGAAAAAGAATTGGGAGGGAACTGCTGCTTATTTAGAATCTGAAGAGGGAGACCTTTATTGTAAAACTACCTTAAAACGTTTAAAAAAAGGGCAGTGCTGAAATGAAGTGTACACACACCATATTTTTGTAACGAGTAACTAAACCAAACGTTGAAAATTTATTGGAGTAAAAGTATGCAATTTAGTTCGTAAATATAGTAACATAAAAGTAAAAGTTGTCAAAAATTGTAATGCTCGAGAAAGTGTAAAGTAACCTGAAATATACTTAAGTACAATAGGGAAGTATTTTTACTTTGTTACCGTACAACACTGCCACAGAGACGACTACACATCCACAGCCGAGCGCCCCAGGGACCAGGAAGTGTCCACAGGTAGGTCCAGCAGAGAGGAGCAGGTCAGGAACACCACCAGGAACACCACAAGACCAGAGGACAGACAACCCCGGACCCAGACCCAACCACAGCCTCAGGCAACAAAAAAACACACACCCACACACGACACACTCCCATAGGCAAGGCAAGTTGATTTGTACAGCACATTTCATGTACAACACAATTCCAAGTGCTTCACAGAGAATTTAAAAGCATAAAAACAAGAAAAGAAAAAATAATAAAAATTAGACAGATGAAAAGTGAAGGGTGCAGTTAAAATACATTCAGTTTCCATATGCACAGTTAAACAGAAGCGTTTTCAGCCTGGATTTAAACATTGTCAGAGTTTAAATAGCACATGGTCAGGGTCAGTCAGCAGACACACACCACCTCCCCCACAAAAAAGAGTCACAGTAATGGTTGAGAAACTGTAATGAATTTGGTAAATCGGATCTACGACAGTCTTTGCTCTTCTAAAGGCTTTTTAAACCAGTGTGTGGTGGTTTGTTTTTCCAACTCTCCCTCTCAGTTATAAGGGGAATTATTGCTGACCGGTCCAGGGTGCCCTGCCTCTCGCCCCGTTGCCTGCTGGGAAAGGCTCCAGCCCCCCCCTCATGGCCCCATTGGGAATAAGTGGTATAGAAACTGGAAGGATAGAAGGGAGTTCATCCTTTATTGTCTTTCAAATCGGATTTAGTTTTGTTAGCTCTGACCGCCTGGAGGAATTGTCTATTCCTGACTGCAGAGAGATGGCAGGTATATTCTTGAAATCACGGTTAAAAGGCAGAGCTTCATATTTTTGGGAGTTGGATGCCTTTGATATTTTTCCTGTCTCACATAAGCTGCTAGACATTCAATGGAAATGCCAAAAAGCAAAAAGCACGGGGAGTGTTGGGCAGCCCTGTCTGATCCCTCTCTGTTGACTTAAACTTGGAGAAGTTTCATCATTTGTCCTAACACATGCATTTGGAAAAATATTTTATTTAGGGACTTTACAAATGATTCCGATGTCAACATTTATTGGAGATTTTGAGCAGTGACTGAGCAGAAGTACAGGATCTTTTCCTGATTTGGCTGATTTGGAATACACAGGGTTTCAGAAAACATTAGAACATTAGAACAAGGAGGTCTGTGAGCTTTTGTTTGTGTTTATAATTAATTCACACTGAGTTAGACGCACATGAATAGAGACTGTTCTGAAATAAAGTCCGAGTGACAAGAGTTCAGCAATGAGCAGCACCAGAACTCCAATTTGCTGCAAGAGATGTAGATGAACATACTATTTTGACCATTGATATTTACATACACACTTTTTTACTTTTGATCTTTTGACAAAATAGTTTAAATTGCATTGTGGCTCTCATTTGTGATATAAAAAGATAAATTGGCATTTATCAATAAAGAACTAAGAAAATGTACATGAACGTAATGAGTCACACAAGTAAGTAACTAAAAATTAAAACGTTTAAAAAACGAGTTCATTATTTCAAGAACAAATGATACATTTTACTTAATACTTTCCTGACATTGGCATTCCTGTTGTTTAATTAAGTTGCAAGTTAAGTAGACTTTATCTAAAGAAACCCAGCAATAAGTTCATATACATTCTATTACAGTATATGTATACCAGCTATTCCAGCTATTGCTTCACAAATAATCACAAGATTAATAGAGAAGCTAGCTTTCATGTGAACAAGTACAGAGAGGTATGGCATTCACTTCTTATTTTTTTGGTGAGGAACCCCCTGCGCCTCGTTTAAAGTTCCAAGATGAGTCTTTTTTTTTTTACACCCTGATATCAAATGGAGATATCAGTGATATTAAAGCAGATGAAGCTTCTTTAGACCTCCTGGCACAAGAATCTGTTGTGGGTGATTTTTATCAGCAGTGACCCAGATGTTTGGCATCCAATCCAAGCAGCCCATGGTAGCTGTCACATCTTATCGCATCCACTAAGCCGATGTAAAAGACCGACTCAGAGAGAGGGGAGAAAAAGGGCTGCACAAGCAAGGCTTTGTGAGGAAGAGTCTGTGTCTGCTTGTACGTGTTTATAGCTTTGACAGCCGGCCTGTGGTTTTCCCCCAACGGCATCCCAACAAACATTTCACTGTCCGACTTGTGTAGAATCTCTGTTTGGAAGTGGAAGCAAATACACACAACAGATATCAGGGCACATCTTGTCTTCATCGGAAAACTCTTTCCATGTTTTTTTGTTTGAGACACACACACAGAAGGTTTTACTCGTTTCATTTACGATATGGAGTTTTGGAAATATACTCCTCAGGTTCGTAAGTTATATGCGATGTGTCACACGAGAGGAAAAAAAATGAAAAAACACAAGGACCTAGACGGGGAAAATTAAGTGTGTGTGCTTGTTTTGGGTATGCATAAAGTATTCCCACCCTTCTTATCATTCATCTCTCATAAGAAGCTGTTTACAGGAGATCTAGCAGATAGTCAATTAGTGGTGTTTCTTGTGTGTGAAGATGATGCACTGTGACAGCTCCGTCACAATTCCTTCAGGACACGAACACCGCCCGACTTTAGTCCTTCTTCAGCATAATCATGTACAACTACTTAAATCATTCATCAGATCCTTTGTAGCTTTTTTCAGCAAATTGCTTTTACTTCAGACCTGCCATAAGATATTACATTTTTGGAGTTGTTAATAAAATAGTTAGGGTTCTTTGTAAATTTGGTTTAAACTAGATTTTTAGAGAGGACCGTCTCAGAAAGATTGACTCAATTATCATTACGTGCTTTTCACTGAAATTCAAGCCCATCCCTTCCGTCTTTGGCAGAATAAGACTTTTACAGGTCACAAGTCGGATCCCTATGGAAGATTTTCTGTACCGTAATTCAAACTAAAAAGCAATTAAATACTTTTTCATTTTCAAATTTGACATTTCAAAAGGACTTATCTTACATTTTTTTTGCATGTGGTGGGCATTAAACTGAAAATAAATGCAATGTCCTTCTCTTTATCATTTTAATTATGTTACAAAATGATCAGTCTTGAAGAAGAAAATGAAAATGCAGTTTGGATTAATCATTAATAGTTTTATTTATGAGTCAGAAAATGCAGCTAAATTGTGAAAATGAATAACACATTTCAGTTCATGCTTTTTAATTTGAATTATGGTACAGAAACGCCTTCATAGATTACAGGGCCACACAGAGACAAAGAAAAAAAATAACCATGCACATTTTATCACTTAAGTAAGTACACTTCCTACTAATCAAATATTACTCCAGGGAAAGTAGCTCTGTTAAATTATTACTTTAAGTACCGGAATATCTACTTTAAAAATACTTAAGTATTCAAGGTACTTTAAAATCTTCAATCTTAAAAAAATAAGATTTTTTACCAGTATATTTCAATTGAGTGTATTTGAGAATTGGGACATTTTTCTGATAAAACTGACAGACCAGGAACTCTAATTAAACCAAGGTTTTTCTGTTTGTTTAGATTATTGATGTTTTGCAATATTTATTTAATTTAATTGGATTGAATGGATTGACAAATTCCTGTTTGAGCTTTATGTGTTAAAAGCTGCATTGTTTTTCCAGGGTTTCTGACTTTTGTGGTTCCTTTAAGGTCTATGTTTATGGAGATATTGGAGATATTTTCCCAGCTGTGGAGGAAAAATATCCTCCTGGTCACAGTCTGCCTGGTGTAAGGCCTGTGCTGAACTTCTTGGTTTTGGGTGATGTTTGCTGTTGGCCTACAGGAGGGTTTCCGGTTCAAATTACTGAGGGACAAGAGTCCCATCCTGTGGGGACTTTGCATGTGTTCCCCATTAGGTTAATTAAACTCTGAATATCCCTGAGTGAGTGTGAATGGTTTTGTCTGTGGTGGACTGGCAGCCTGTTCAGGGTGTGCCCCCCCCTCTCTGCCAATCTTCTCACAAAAGCAGGTTCAACCCAGCGTGCATCATTCTGAAAGTCTTAAAATGAGGTGTGGAGAACTGACAATCACCAGCGGCCCGCACAGCTGCAGGACATGAAAAGTAGTGTGCTCACAAAGCTAAATGGAGGACAATTGGCCAATTGGCTTCTTCTTCCAAAATGGGTGAGTGGCTTCTTCAGAATTGTGGTTAACATCTCCAATGTCTCTTTCAGAAAAGTGAAAAACTGGTGCAGAACCTTGTATAATTATTCATTCCTGTATTAAACTACAGGATTTAGGCTTGATAAGTGCACACACCCTGTCCCTCTAGTGGAGAGATGGCAGTAGAGTTTTTTTTAACATCTACATTATATGCATAAATGTAAATAACATCCTCTCACATACATAGTATAAAGTATAACTTTAACATTTGATTTCCTCAGTCATGTCTGTATTCCTGTCTTAATATTTGCTTTCTTTATGGGGGAAAAATTAATAAAAATCAAAATAGATTATGTAGCTCTGAATATCTTGGTTGCTATGCCCAGTGATAAACATATCATATACCAAATGCCTTCCCAAGGTTGTCCGATTATATGAAACACGTAAGGCCACAAAAATATTAGGAATAATGTTAAGATCTGTGGTGTCATCTAACATTTCTTGAGGGAACTTGTGAAAAAATAAATATCATATCATTTATAAAAAATGTTAACTTGAAACTACTTACTGTAAAGTATATTGGACACTTTCATAGTAGAAGACAAAAAATAATGAAAAATAAGTCAAAAGTCTTCCTGAAAATATGCATGTTACAGGATAAGGTCCTGGTTCCTTCAAAGGGAATCACAAAGCATCTAATTTGAAACCCTCTGTTGTTGGAACACAAGAGCCAAGCTTGTTTTAGGCGGCCTCAGAGACTCGGGAGTAGAGAGAGGGACAATCCCACTTAAGCTGAAAGGGCTACGGGGAGTTTATGAAACAGACGGGGAAAGGGGAGCCAGAGATTGGATCTCAGGTGGGACAATTATCTTCTGTCCCAAATCTTGCCTGACTCACCCCGTAATCCAGACAGGAAGAAGAAGCATGGAGAAATCTCCAATTATGCTCTAAAGTTGATGGTTCTAAACTTTCTCTGTGAGCTTTGCTCCTCACATATTGTCTGTGTGTATGATTTTGATCTGATGCGCTCCTGGCCGGCGTGGTTTCACTTCATGAGCTGTGTGTCTGCTTTGTTGCTGCTCCTGTTTAAACGCCTCTGCATTCCACTGGTGTGCGCCATGGGAAGTGGAAAATCACTACTTGGGATTCTTTGATGTATCTCTGTGTAGACTTAGATATCGAATATACAAACTGAAGTCAGTCTTAAGTGAAGCGTAGAATAAGAAAAAGTTTATTCATTCATGTTTTTTTAAAAGATAACTGTCATTGTTTCACAAATGAATCAAAACATGATATTAGAAAGAAAAAGATTAAATGAAATGCATAAAAATGAAAATATAATTTAAGAAGAACTCAGTGAATTAGTAAAAGCGCCAAACCAATCAGGAAATATCATAACATGAAAACAAAGTGACTTCATTGCATAGTTTAGGATGAGTCATAGCTATGCAGTCACTGGAATCCAAAAGTATTCAGGACTGTCATGCAGACTGAAGTCATGGTAGGTCACACACAAATGTAGTACAAGTAAGCAGTTGGGGGTTAAGGATATATGCATATTAAGTCCATACCCCTTACAAAATGGTGTGGCTTTGGGAGTAGTATCTAATATTTTAGATAATTATGTATATTCAAGTAATTCATAATTTCACATGAATGAAGTGATCACTGGAATTAAAAGCTAACTGATCCCAGTTAGCTTTTAATTCCAGTGATCCAAAATGTGCAAAACATTGCAAACCACAATGTGTCAATGTGTTTTTGGCCATCAGAGGAGTTCTTGGAACACAATTGTGCTTCAAAAGAAATTACAAAGAATTCATAAGTACAAGAACCAAGACCACCTGCTGTGTGAAGTGAATGAAATGTGTTGAGTTCCTCAGCTCTGACACGACGGCCGTACCCGGTTTCGTAGCAGGAACAGAAAGTGGAATGTTTGAGGAAAGATAGCACAGTGACACATTAATGCTGATGCAGAGAGAGTTTTTCCTCCATGAGACAAGACGAACAACTAGACAGAGAACAATCCAATTCGGAGCCAAGCTAGGACCAAAGCTGCAAAATGACATGCATAAAGAAACTTAAAAGAAAATATTCCATGAATGGTCTGAATGTAGACTGTATTTTAATTTTTTTAAATCAAACAGAGATGGTTTAACTCTTTGTTGACTGTCAAACAGTTGGTTTGCCCAAGCTGAATTTACAACAATTTTTTTTTTTCTTATTTAACAGCTTATTGCATGCTGCTGCTACCTTCTATTGACCTGGTGTCTGTGGTAGCTGCCTACAATGTCCCATTTTCCAAAAGACAGACTTAGGTTTAGAAAAAATGCTAATTAAATTATTTACTTGGGGATCTCTTGATCCTGGTAGCTTAACCATGTAAGCTCTCAATATAACCCCATAATTATGTTTCAGTGCAATGGTCAGTTAATGTATCTTTGTACACAATGTAAAAGTTTTCTTGGAGCGTTTTAATGTTCATATCTCACCTTGTTATAAAGAAAGTACTAAATACACAAAGTAATCATTCAGATTTTGCTTTTGCTTTACTTTCTGACAATTTCATTTTCTTTTTTGTTGTCCAATACCTCACTCAGGCACCCCCCCCCCACACACACACACACATACATGCATATCCACACAAACGTGTATGCATAGCTGTCGTTGTCAAACCTGCTGGACCTGCTAGTCAATCAAAACACAACCTAGTAATGTGACACACCTATCTCTGGCTTTCTCAACTTTTCTTTCTGTCTCTATTTCTTTCTCATGTCACTGTAAGCAAATTAACCACGTGCTGTGCAGGATTGCTTTGGAGAGAAGTAAAGGAGGACGCTTCACTAAGCTTTGGAGAAGGCAGCCTTTCAACAGGTACTGGTTACAATTATTATCAACTTCCTGACTTGCTTTGTGGTTACCATCTTCCTCCATAGTGTTTTTGTCAAAACAACACTGAAAAGCACATCACATGTTTAATACGTAGCTGTACAAAGATGTGATTCTTCACATTTAAAGAAAACATGATTTCCATAGAGATAGTATATTTTAAAAAGATAATTGTAAATTATAAATTAATTGTACCTCTCTGAGATGGCTAATGTTAAATTAGAAGATGGTCGTTTGGTCACTCATAAACATCTTGAAATATAAAGTTGGAACTGGAATCTTTGCAGCTTGTCCACATCCTTTAACATCTTAAAGCTATCTGAACTAGTGTGCAAAGTATTAAAGAATATTCTCCAATAAAGACAACTGTCTAGATTCCCATTGCATCCAGGCTGTGTTACTTTAGGTTTTGCTTTTGAAGACATCAGAACATCTGCATAAAGAAACCAAGTATTTGTCAAAATGCACTGTAAAAATGCAGCCCAAATAAGATAATTTGGAATCTTGTCATTGCCATTTTAGATTAACTTAGAAAAATGTATTTTCATTTCCCAATTCATACAATAAAAGTTGTCTCATGCAATTCTAGCTCTTTTACTATACACATAAGTGTGAGGTACTATCCACATTTATCAATTTTAGAAAAATTAAAATAAAGATACAATGCAAATACTCATCTCAAATCAAATTGACACAAAATATTTAGTAGCATGTTGCTTTAAGTTAAGTTTTTATTTTGTAATTCTCAATGTTGTCTATTTTATAACGGTGAAGGATCTGGAGTACAGCAGGGTAATGTCCAGCACCAGGATTATTTTCTGTGCCGTTTTAACAGATGCTGTATGCTGTTGCATCGTCTTATTAAAATATGCGAGACATTCCCTACCAACACATCAATAAAATGGGAGCTTTGCTAGAAATCAAACTGTCATTTTCAGCAAAAGAGGAGAGAAATGTACATTAAATCACCAGATGGCTAAATGAAAATGCATTAGTGATTTTAAGTCTTATCCCTTTTACATTACGTATATTGTATTTCTCCAAATTCTTGGAAGCTTTTTGAAATTTAGATCTATATAACATTATTTGCTCTAATTCTGAGGTTTTTGCACAATTCAGAGAAACACATTCATGGATATTGATTAACTTTTACCCAACATATGCTGTTTTTATTATCAAATTTTCAATTCTATTGCCACTTCATTTGTGTCAACTCCTTTTGTTTACCTTTCTGATTGTACTTTAGTAGTAAGTCGTTTCTATCATCAATATATTATTTTTATTAAATAGCAAACTTGTTAAATCCCCCAAAACCGAATGTTTAGTTTTATATACATTAATGGTTTGTGAAATTGTTAAATCATTGCAGTCTCTGTTTGGTTTACACTTTGTTTAGCATCAAAATCCAATTTGAATGTGGCTTGTAGATATGAACAACAGCTGACAAAAAGATCTCAAGACATATGGAAAGATAAAGAAATGGGGGTTAAAAGTATGCTGTAATGAAGAGCACTTTGTTCCATAGACAAAATGCTTGTGTAAATATGGCACCATGCACTCTAATTGGTAAGATCTACGTTAATAATAGTGAAAGTGTATTGGCACAGCATTTGCCCTTTTTAGGATTTGCACATGATAGTTTGCACATAGTTATTTTTTTTGCATACTCTGTACATTTATAGTTAGGGTTTAATGACTGATTTGTGTGCACTTTTTAAGATTTTGTGAAAAAAGTTTCACAATAAAGCATTTTCTATTTGACTAAATCTCATGATAAAATCTTGGGTTTTAGCTATTTAAAAACAAAAAAGAAAACATCACAATCAGCACTTAAGGTCATGAAAGGGAATTAATATTCAGCACTTCAATGACGTACACACCTAATTTATTTAAAAGTATCAGTATCGGCAATACTGGCCCATGTTACTTGGTATCGGATCTATCCCAACCCTAACCCTAATCCAAACCAAAATTTGTAGTGTCACACCCAACTGCTGGTTTCTACATGTATTGCCCTTTTCTTTATAAATGCTAATTCTACTGGTGGGGGCTGAGAAGGTCACAGTGGGTTCCAGCTGAGCGAAACCCACTCCAAGAAAGAGAAATGGCATTGGATTGCAATGGATGTGCTTTTGCGTGGTAATTTATTAGTTTTGTGCAAGTAATGTGACTGCCTATGTTGTGCGAGAATTGTAGGTACATGGGAATCCTGAGGTATGTGGATGTGGGAAATTGTACGCACCAGTCTTTGTTCCCAGGGTTCACTGGCAAAAGGTTTTCCAGGAAATGGGAACCATTTTTTATAGTTCCATAGGCAGCCAAGTGGTGATTGTGCAGGATAATAAGAAAAAGGAATTTCTATTATTGGACTGTACAAATATTGGGAGATGAGCTTGTTTTTGTTAATATGGATATGTAAATTGAAGTAAGGTTAGGGGGTGATCGAGAAAAAGAAAAATTGATTCAGAAGGGGTTGTGTGCATTTCAGAATACCAGATGGATTAGTGCTCCTTCAGTTAGCTGGACACCAGATAAAAAGCACCATTTCGTCGTTATTGGTTGATGCTCATTGATGTGAGAGACATTTGTTGGTTGGTGTGACAATAAAAGAACTTCTCTGTGACGTTCAACAATCCTGACAAGTATTTTCTTGCTGCATAAGTGCTAAAAGTCCATTCAATAAATGCTGTCATGGACAGTTGACCTGGTGTGATAGTATTGTATCATTGTGTTCAAATTGGAAATTTGTCAAAAACAACAACAATATCAATGAGAAATTCTTTGTTTTTGCCATTATTCTCCTTTTTCAACCAGGGCCATGTATGTATTTAATGCTGCAGTGTTTGTGTCTACTGCTTTCCAGTATGGGCTCCAGCCAGAGCAGCGAGAAGTTCTACTGTAATCGCTATCTGAATGGAGAGGGTCCCCCATCATTGTCACAAGGTCTTTCACAAACGTACACGACTCTGTAACTAACCTCGGGTTATCTCTTGATGGTTTTAAAATGTCCCACGTTCTGTGCAGTTGTTGAAGAGGTGAATCAGAAGAACAAAGAATCAGCGAAGCGTCAACCGGAGGGAAAGATGACCTGGGTGGTTCTCCACAAAGACCTGGCAGGATTCCCTAATGTCAACACTGTGCAGATCAACTACATATTCCCAGAAGGAATACAGACGGTAAGATGTGCTAACACCCAATCACTTACAGCTTAAAAGACCTAAATCTGCTGGTGCCAGAATCTGGCCCAGTAGATGAGTCGGTTGACATATCCTTCCTGAATGGAGAAAGTCGTTATTGGGGGAATGGAAGAGAGTAGTAGTGGAGGGGGAATGGAGTTGGGAAGTTGTGAAGGCTCCTACTAGGGACGGACACAGAGTGAACAAACAAAACATGACAAAACAGTGAGAACCAAAATGCATCCGTCGCGCCATCTTGTTTTAAAAAACACACTTTGAGATGAAACCTTGGTCAATCTGGGAATTAAGAGCTAACTTCCTTGAGACCAAAAAGGCAATACAAAACATTAAAAAAAAACACCTTGTCCCACCCTTTTTTCCTCAGTTGTTGAGTGTCACTTGAAATGGAGGTAGTGGGATCTAAATCAGAACCATTATATGAAACTATTACATGCACATTATAGGTGGCATGTCTGTATCTGTGCATTTATGCAAAGTATGCATTTATTTTTTTGCAGCAGAGTCATCCTCATCCTGGCCAGGCTTTTGCAGGACAGCAAGTGAGCGCATATCTCCCAGACAACCGTAAGGGCAGGAAAGTTCTCAAGCTCCTGGAGAAGGCCTTTTATCAGCAACTTCTATTCACGGTTGCAACCAATCCCAATGGAGAAGATGTGGTGACACCGGATTCCATTCCACTTAAAACAAATCAAGAGGGAGGAAGCATTAAGTGAGTTCATCTCAGAAGTACCTGAGCACAATTGAACTGTTTATTTGAAATTGATTTGAAATCTTTAAATGTCATGTGAAAAATACATCCATTCTCCACCCTAAGATATGTATCAGGATATGAAAACTACCCATTTAAAAGCAATAGCTTCACATAGTATTTTTTTACACAATGAGGTAAGTGGGGCATTTTATCCATCCAAGTTTTTTAATTCTGAGTTCAAACACAGTCACAATATGACTAATAATTATTATTATACAGTAAATGTAACAGATTCATTATTGTTTTATCTACTCCAGTGAAGGATAATGTTTCCCAGAGTACTTCATTGGAAATCCTGTACATTTCATTAATGTGGTGCAAAATCACAACAAATGACACACTAAATAAAATCTAAGATGTACAATAATTCAAGCCAATTAAAATCTGTGCCATTGAGATGTAATGGTGATGATTAATCAAAAACTCTATTAGTCCTGTTCATACAATGTTATTCAGAACAAAAGTTCCCCTGGTCAGGAAAGCAGCAGCTTCTACTGAAACATCCCTGTGAATCAATCCATTTCTGTGAGTTTGCTCAGTGCTACTTTGTAAAGGAAAAACTCATTTAATAGCACAAAACCTCCAGCTGATCCACATTTATCAAAGCAACCTTCTGCCTTGGCTTGGTAGAGGTTAATAAGACAAAAAACACGGGTCAATAACATAAGAAAAGTAAAAACTCTTTAATGACACTGTTACAAGAACAATGAAAAGTAAATCTCATTAGCAGTGTGATAAATTACAAAAAACAATTCATAAAATAAGCACCATATTTAAAAAAGGTTCATGACACCTGGCCTGGGATACCTGTGGAGACAAGAAACAGAGTAATTACAAAAGTAAGTAAGTAAAATGGAGATGCAGACTTAATAGAGCAGAGTAAAGAAAGATAGATCATTAGAGGTCCCTGTTGGTGGAAATTTATTCATTTTGGAATAAAACAAAGAAATTAAATTTTTAACTTTTATTAATAACCAAAACGGGTATATTGGAAAAAGGAAAACATTGAAGACAAAATGCACTATTCTGATCCAGTCAAAGTCCAGATTTCCGCCCAGTAGTAAGCTTTCCGTGGGTGAGGCCTTTTTATAGCTGAAAAAAAGAAAATGGGGCAAAAGCTTCTCTGAAATAAGCTATTCTATTTTCCAACAGCACTCAAAAATCAACAGTTATGAACACATTTTGATGCATTTTACATTCAGCAAATGTTTTACTGTATTGCACTTGCTAGAATCTATATCTGACAAGTTCTGTGCAACAAAATCTGGATGTCCCCTGTAATATTTTCTCCTCCTCCTTTTAAGAGGTGGGGCTTAATCCTAGAACCCCCACCTTTTTTAAAAGTTTTCTCTAAAAGCAAGAAAAGTTTATGCAAAAAGTTCTACATCTCTGAAAATCTTTACATTTTTATCAGGGCAATTGGAATTGAATTGAGCTGAAAACAGTGTATATCTTATAAGAATGGTGTGTTTTTTGTTTTGCTTTGTTTTTCAGCAATGGCTACCCAGACCCAGACTACTTTAAAACTCTGGAAAAGACACTCAAAGTTAAAGGCATCAAGTAAGAAGAATTACTCCACTGGAGGGTCAATGAAAATAGAAAATGTAACCATGTTTACTGAAAAGCCAGGGAATCTCTTCATGAGGAGAGATCTTTCTGTTGAAGTTGATTCAATGTATTAGCTAATATGTACGGTAAGTATTTTATTACTGCACAAAAGTAGTTACATACTGTACTTTTGGTAGTGTTATACATAGTTGGATAAAAACATTACTAAATTGCATTACTGTGAAAATAATCTTATGTTGTTCAGAAAGTGTGTTCATATTGTTGTAATAAAGTTAAATAAATATCTGTATTTCTGCATTAGTGTTGTATCATTAATCTATTTTCTGAGGGACCGAGCCTGTTAGAAAAGAGGACACAAGGATAATTTTCAATAATTTAAATTCTCCTCATACTTCTTACAGAAACTACTCATACTTCTTACAAAAAACTAAATAAACAGAAATGCTAATGCTGTAGAATAAATTACGCTATGAAGAAAGAGAACAATTAAGTTAGTTAAATTGTTCAAATGTAGACAGGTAAAAAAAATATCTGAGGTCACAAGAGGTCACAGGTTGTTAATTCATACCTTTTATCCCAGATACCATAATTGAAAGGAATAATTATGTTTTCTTTCTTTGTACCTTTTGATTATACAAACGTTTAACAGGAAAAAAGGCTTCTTTAATATTTTATACCAGCCCATTCTGGATCTGTGCATAGTGAGGACAGTAATTCCAAAAATCTTCATTTTTCACATGATTGTTGGGGAGCAGGAAGACATGGAGGGAGTTTGGTGGTGGTTTGGGACTTATCTTAGGTCACTTTCTTCACCAGTGGAATGTATCAGGGGAGTCTGCATCCCTGTGGAAGTGTGGGTTCTCTCTGGGTACTCCGTTTTCCTCCCACAACCCAAAGACATGCAGATTACTGATTTTTCTAAACTGCCCACTGGACGAATGCAAGCATTTGTGGTTGTTGATCTCTGTGTGGCCCTGGACTGGCCAAGGATGGACCCTTCCCTCACCCCAAGACAGCTTTACTTTTTGAAATATCAGCTCATTTCCTTACACAGCCTGTGCATGATGTTTTATTTTCTTGTGGTGCCCAGTTTTGCGAGCAAACATATTACAATAATATGAAGTACATGCACAAAATAGTGATACATATTGTTAAGTTATGTTCAGGTGTTGGTTACTATATTTGAAAAAACAAGATGATTAAGTACAATATTCACAACCTTTCTATGTTATGCAACATTTTCATTTAAACAATCGAAACTTGGATGTTTCCTACATTTGCGAGGTTAGAAAACACAAGACATTTTTGCAGCAATATGTCCTCGACTCTCCTTTTAGGATGTGGTTAAAGACACTGTTACAGTAACAATCTACTTCCATGATAAAAAAAAAACATTGTATAGTGAAAGAAAAATGATAGTTTGTCAAAATTAACAATATTTGTTTGCATTAACATAGCCTGACCTTATCTTACATTTCTAATCACAGTTAAGATTAGTCTGTAGGTAACGGAACCTCTAACGGTTCTATTGAAACTTTGATTAAATACTCAGACCGTACTCTCTCCCTCTCCCTCTTAGAGCGGTGATTTATTTGACCATGGTCAGTAATAGTCATGGAAGTAATCATCACATTCAAATATTAATCTCTGTTGCTGAGACAGTGCAATGAATCAAAAATATCCCGCCTCAACCCCCAATGAGCATATTACCATGACAGATTATTGTAATTCCCCTTCTCATGAAAAGGACAGGGTGTAAGGTGAAGCTTTAAAAAAACAGGTGGACATAAGGCACTGGCTGTGTTGACTTTGTTAAAACCACCCAGCGCGCTAAAACCAAAAAAGAAGCCGCCATAAAACTGCTTTCACTGGTTTCAGTGAAATATTTTCAGACCTCGAGTGATTGAAAGAAACTGATCGGGCTATAGTTTCTGGAATGGCTGTCAGCAAAATTATAATAAGAAAACGAACACATATTTGAGTAAAATGTATTGTCAAATAACTGTGGATTTAGTTCTCACTACAGAATGGGAAACATTCTTGTTCTGTGTGATTTCGTTTTCTGTATATGTTTCTATTAACTGGAACAGATCTATCTATCTTTCCTGATAGGTTGAGGAACCTAAGAATAATGATAAGGATTAAGAAAAGGTTGGAAGCCAGTAATTATCTGACTATTAATTTTAAAATACGCAATATACTTTGAAGTCCAAAGCAATTAAGCCTGTTTTTCCTCTTTTTTTAACCCATAAAAGCCCAGATCCATGTTTTCTTGAAGATAGATTATTGGGAATAGAAAACTAAACAAATGAACCCCATGTGTCATATTTAAAAAATCCAGGTACCAGCACAAAATGTTAACGATCTGTGATTTCCAGAAATTCAATTGGCCATTTTTAATTAATGTATTTTGGTTCAAATAGGTTGTTACATCTGTGTCACTGTGGGTTCTTATAGTATATCATGGGACATCATTAGTATTATCATCAATGCCCCCCCTGTTTCCTATTAGAAAGATAAGGGATTCAGGTCAGCCAGATTATTGGAGTTTTGTAAAAATCTACATTGTCATGTGACATTTTAATGGCTGAATAAAAATAAAAACAAACATAAAGTAAGGGACAATAAAATACGTGGGCCAAGAAGTACATACTAGTTGTCTTAATACACAAAAACTGTAATGAAGACCAATAAATGTCAACAAGAAATGGCTTCTTTGACTAAAACCCCCACCAGCCATAAACTGACTACTTGGGTTGGACCTTAGGTCTGAGATACTTTGGTCACTTTCACCCATTCACCTATACGACATTCATTTGTCCACACAGTTTAGTTCCCAGGCTATGCAGGGCTTCTTGTCCTGTCACACAGATCTCCGGAGTGCATAAGCAGATAGGTTGGGATTCAGTGTCTGGCCCCAGGATGCTCTAACGTCTGGGCCGGGGCTGACAGGCGTTAAACTACCAACAGTCTGATTGTCGGAAAAACTGCTCTTCCTCCTGAGTTACAGCCGCCCCAGTAATACTAATCTAACATGACTTCTGCATGCTTTCCCAGTCATCCACACTCAAATGCAGGAAATGTTTTCAAGCCGTCAGCAAAAATCCTTTAGTTTCTTAAACACATTAAGACCGAAATCCCTTCATTACTTGGATTGAATTAATTAATTATCCATGTGGAATTGGAGTTATGAAATCTACTTCTGCCACTTTCTGAATAGACAGGGAAAATGATTGAATGGTTGTATTGATTTGAGAACATTTTGAGCTTATGCAGTCACATTTTACCACAACAACCAATAAGCAGAACACTGAAGGTTAAGATCGAAGCGCATAAAAGAAGACTATGCAACTGAGTGTGCTCCGGAATTCCCACATACACTCGCTCACACACAAGGACACACCTTGGCACCAGGCAACTAAAGTGTACTGTACAATATGTCTACAAAGCCATTGTTGAGTCTTTTATAGAATACAAAGTCAGAACACAAGGGAAAATGGCTGTCTGAGTGGCTTTGACTGGGGTTCTGATAACACTGCGATAAGAGAGAAAGGACTGGCTATTGAGAGAGAAAGAGAGAAGAAATGTAGGGGAAGCTGTATTCACACTTTATTCATATATATTCATATAAAAATCCCTTTGCCAGCCTTATCTTATCCCCAATATTTTCAGATGTGAAATGACGAATGATGGAATAAGATAGTAAAGATGAGTTTAGTGACAAGTGGGAGAAGAATAAACCTGACTTGAGAATGGGTGTGGATTTAAAATTCTCTGAATTTCCTCTGTTATAGTCTAAATTAATTCATGCTGCATTATCCTGGAAAATAGTTTCATCTTGTTTTATTTACTCAGCATCGACGGTATTGAAGAAAGGGAGGAGTGTGAATTAATTGTTGTATCATTTGTGTCTGTGTTGCCCTTTGACAAAAAGGCATTCTGCCTAAGGTGTAGATTACATTAAACTGGTGATATATAGAACAGAACAGGGAAGGGGAGAGGCCATTTTTGCTTTATTAAAATATCCATGTCTTGGATAAGAATACATCCTGGATTCAGCGTGTGTGCATGGGCCAACCACATCATAGAAATCTACAGGACCAAACACATCATCTCAGTGGCAAAGGGGTGGAAACGAATGGAGGACCACTACATTTATAAAAAAAAACATTTTTTTAAAGGCAATCTAGGGACAGCTTTATGCTGTGGACCCAAATGCCAAAGGAACAGGCCATTAGCAGGGGAACAAAGGAGCAGCTAAGTTCAACCACCACTCAATTCACTCATCTACATGCAGGTAGGCCCTGGCTGTTTCATGGTTTTTGTGGACTCAATCCATTCCGATGCAGCCGGCCATCTTGGCAACATTTGAGGCAATACTTCTCTGCTTGATAAAAAGTCTTATACTGAAACTGGATGGATTTAATGCACAGCATGATGTGTGGATTTCAGCTTGTTGAATTGTCCTTTCAACTGTCGGCTTTATTTACAATCCCTAGGGGATGCTGAGTCCTGTTGTTCTGGTTGTAGTGTTAATCTTGAGGGATCTTTGTAGAAGCAGTTGGGTGGGATTAGCCTACACCAAAGGCAGTCTCCAACAAATGTTGTGATGCCAGCAAGAATGGTTCCGTAATGTAGCTGCTGTAAAATGAGCACCAACCTGATGCTTTTATTATGGGGAACTCACGAGTGGCTCCGATGAGAGCCGTTATGAATACCAAAATGGATCTTGTGGCGGCTACTACGGCCAGTCGTATCAACACTGTGTGAAGAAAAGAACTACACGTCTACGCACATGGATCCACATAGTGGATCCATATTAAAGTACACCAGGAACAAAACAACCAGGTTCAGTGTTCATGGTAAACCCTGTGGTTGAGATTTTACTCTTATCTTCTCTTCCAAGTATAACATATCTACTTTTAAGACGCTCAAAATGAATTAAACATATTTAAATAGCCTCTCAGTGATTATTACAACCTTAATTTTGCTTTAATATATCAATGTAAGGCTTACTGGCTCCTCCTTCCCTGTTATTTAACAGAGACTAAAATCCTGCCGTGTCTTTTCCAGGCATTTCTCTCCCACATTGCTTCCTGCTTCCCTTTGAGTGAATGCCTTCATATTATCAGATCGTATTCACCTGGTGAACAGTCTGCTGCTTTTTGGCTGGGAGACACACCCAGACCTGGACTCAGCTAAAGGGGGACAGGGCCCGGAGCTCAGCTCAGCAATACGAGGCTGCTGGAATCATCACTGGACTTATTGTATCAGTTCAATCCAGTTTCAGAGTGAGATGGCCAATGAAGAATAACGTATGAAAAT